CAAATTTTGATTTACAAAATTAGACTAGCATAATATTAAAGTGGTGATTTTATTCTTGTCCAGAAAAATTTTCAGAGTATATATCTTGCAATTAAAATTATAAATACATTACTTATACAACTCTAAAATTCATATCAACTTACAGGATACTCAATAAACATGTTATGGTTATTTTTCAGAAAGTTTTTCCAAAAACAACTTATAAATAATTCTAAACAAATTCCAAGGGTGTTTATGACACAGATTTGTCACATTTCCTTACATTAATTCCATGCTTAAATTTATAGATCAAACCCATAATCTAAAAATTATTATGAAACTAGCTTCTCAAATTTCATCTTCTAGTTAGAATTACCAGATTTGACTTAGTATAGAATTTTAAATAAATTTTCAAATACATGGTAAAATCTGTCTCACAGTTTCAGATTTAGTTAGAAATTTGTATAAATTCGTAGAAAGCTCGAAATTGTTTCCAAAATTTCTGGATAAACTAGACATCATTATCAACAACTTTGTAGAAGAAATCATCTCGAAATTCTGAGTATAAATTGTCTAAAAATTCGGGTAACATGCTGGCAGATTCAACATAGATTATCTTCAACACAATTTAGACAATGTATCAATATGTACACAATCTGAAAAATTTCAATTATGAAAAAAAAAAAAATGAGAGGATTGAGAGGGTTTTCTTACCTAGTAATAGGGTGACAAAATGGTTGAGAATTTTGGCTTCCTTAATCTCCTACTCTTCTTCCTCTCCTATCATAAGCTTGGTTGCTTTGTGGATTTTTTTTTTTTTTTTTTTTTTCACCGAATGCTTGCATGCACAAGGAAGGCTTGCATGCATATATATAAATTGAAACATCTCTCTCTCCCTCTCATCTCTTCCATTATTTTATTTTCTCAAAAACATTCCATTCCCTTTCTCCATTTCTAAGAGCAAACTTTCTCTAATTTTTATAAGTTCTTCCCTAAATTTTATAAAGGATGGTGGGTTTGGTAGGAGCTGTGGGTTGTTTGCCTACGGTTTGTTTGTTTGTATTATTTTTTATTTTATTTTTATTTATTTTATTTTATTTTATTTTATTTTATTTTTTTGTTGTGGGTTTCTGAGAAATTGACACACTAAGATTTTTAACTAAGGTATTTAGTAAGAATAGTTATTATATTGAATCCTAATTAAAATAATTTATAAACAACAAATATTGAACACCACAAAATTATTATTCTTAATAATGTCTTGTTAGTGATTGAATTGAGTCGATTTAAAACTAACTTTTACACTAATATATATTCAGATAGACTGTGGACAAAATATAATTAATTAATTAATTTTCTTTAAAGAATAATTAAAAGATTGGTTTTCACAATTCTACCCTCCTAAAAGAGAATTTCGTCCTCGAAATTAATTGTACCTTTTAGACTCGAATAGTTGAGGGTAATTGACACGTATCATATTTCTCGTTCCTACGTTGACTCTTCCGTCCCACGATGTCTCCAGAGAACTCGAACCAATGGTATAGTTTTGCCTCGTAATTTCTTCTCGTGACGATCTAAAATCTTGACAGGCTTTTCTTCAAATGTCACGTCTTCATCAAGATTAATTTCCTCCCAATTGATGATGTGAGAAGGGTGTGGCTCGTATTTCCGTAGCATAGAGACGTGGCAAACATTATGTACTCCAGCCAGTTGAGGCGGTAGAGCAGCCAAACGGTACGCCACTTCTCCTAATTTGTCCAAAATTTCAAAAGGTCCAATGAAGCGAGTGACAACTTTCCCTTCTTTCCGAAATGAACAACTCCTCGACGAGGCTGTATTTTCAGAACACAATGATCTCCAACTTTAAATGCTAAAGGTCTTCTCTTTGATCTGCATAGCTTCTGCCTACTTGAGCAGGTCTCAACCCTTGCCTAATTAGTTTCACCTTCTCGTACTTCTCAGTAGTTTTCGTTGAACTAACTCTGGCCCTAAAAGAGGTGCTTCTCCGACTTCTGTCCAACATATTGGTGATCGGCAAGGCCGTTCGTACAAGCTTCATACGGTGCCATATCAATACTTGCTTGAAAACTGTTATTGTAAGAGAATTCGACTATGGTGAAATATTTCTACCCAACTACCTTTAAAGTCCATCACACAAGCTCGAAGCATGTCTTCTAAAGTCTGAATTGTTCTTTCCGATTGACCGTCAGTTGGAGGGTGAAAAGCTGTACAAAACACAACTCTGTACCCAAGGCCTTTTGCAGACTTTGCCAGAATTGTGACGTTAAAAGAGAATCACGATCTCAACACTATGAGACTGGTACTCTGTGCAATCTAATGATTCTCGAATAAATAATCGGCTTAAAGATTCGAGTGGCCTGCTGCATCTCTTCTCTTTTCAACAACTTTGTAGAAGAAATCATCTCAAAATTCTAAGTATAAAATTATCTAAAAATTCGGGTAACATGCTGGTAGATTCAAAACAGATTATTCTCAACACAGTTTAGATTTAGTTAAAAATTTGTATAAATTCGTAGAAAACTCGAAAATTGTTTCCAAAATTTTTTGGATAAACTAGACATAATTATAAACAACTTTGTAGAAGAAATCATCTTGAAATTTGGAGTATAAAAGTATCTAAAAATTCGGGTAACATGCTAGCAGATTCAAGACAGATTATTCTCAACACAGTTTCAGATTTAGTTAAAAATTTGTATAAATTCGTAGAAAGCTCAAAAATTGTTTCCAAAAATTCATGGATGAACTAGACATAATTATAAACAACTTTGTAGAAGAATTAATATCGAAATTTTGAGTATAAAATTGTCTAAAAATTCGGGCAAACATGCTGGCAGATTCAACACAGTTTTAGACAATGTATCAAATGTACATAATCTGAAAATTTTCAATTATACAAAAAAAATGAGAGGGTTGAGAGAGTTTTCTTACTTAGTAATGGGGTGACAAAATGGTTGAGAATTTTGGCTTCCTTAATCTCCTACTCTTCTTCCTCTCCTATCACTAAGCTTGGTTGCTTTGGGGATTTCTCTCTTCTTCTTTTTTTTTTCTCACCGAATGCTTGCTTGCACAAGGAAAGCTTGCATGCATATATATATATAAAATGCTAGTTGAAGACATCTCTCTCTCCCTCTCATTCTTTCCATTATTTTATTTTCTCAAAAAAATTCCATTCTCTTTCTCCAATTTCTAAGAACAAGCTTTCCCTAAATTTTATGGCTATCCTAAATTCTAAAAGATGGTGGGTTTGATAGGAGCTGTGGGTTGTTAGCCCACGGTTTCTTTGTTTGTATTTTTTTTTTTTTTGTATTTGTATTTGTGTGGGTTTCTGAAAATTGATACACTAAGATTTTTAACTAAGGTATTTAGTAAGAATATTAATTAATTAATTAATTAATTAATTAATTAATTAATTAATTAATTAATTAATTAATTAATTAATTAATTAATTAATTAATTAATTAATTAATTAATTAATTAATTAATTAATTAATTAATTAATTAATTAATTAATTAATTAATTAATTAATTAATTTTCTTTAAAGAATAATTAAAAGATGGGTTTTTACAATCTATCCTCCTAAAAGAAAATTTCGTCCTCGAAATTAATTCGTACCTTTAGACTCGAATAGTTGAGGGTAATTGACACGTATCATATCTTCTCGCTCCCACGTTGACTCTTCCGTCCCACGATGTCTCCAGAGAACTCGAACCAGTGGTATAGTTTTGCCTCGTAATTTCTTCTCGTGACGATCTAAAATCTTGACAGGCTTTTCTTCAAATGTCACGTCTTCATCAAGATTAATTTCCTCCTAATTGATGATGTGAGAAGGGTGTGGCTCGTATTTCCGTAGCATAGAGACGTGGAAAACATTATGTACTTCAGCCAGTTGAGGCGGTAGAGCCAAACGGTACGCCACTTCTCCTAATTTGTCCAAAATTTCAAAAGGTCCAATGAAGCGAGGTGACAACTTTCCCTTCTTTCCGAAACGAACAACTCCTCGGCGAGGCTGTATTTTCAGAAACACATGATCTCCAACTTTAAATGCTAAAGGTCTTCTCCTTTGATCTGCACAGCTTTTCTGCCTACTCTGAGCGGTCTCAAGCCTTTGCCTAATTAGTTTCACCTTCTCGGTAGTTTCCTGAACTAACTCTGGCCCTAAAAGAGGTGCTTCTCCGACTTCTGTCCAACATATTGGTGATCGGCAAGGCCGTCCGTACAAAGCTTCATACGGTGCCATACCAATACTTGCTTGAAAACTGTTATTGTAAGAGAATTCGACTAGTGGTAAATATTTCTCCCAACTACCTTTAAAGTCCATCACACAAGCTCGAAGCATGTCTTCTAAAGTCTGAATTGTTCTTTCCGATTGACCGTCAGTTTGAGGGTGAAAAGCTGTACTAAAACACAACTCTGTACCCAAGGCCTATTTACCACATCAAACCCATAAAACCCTAGAAATCAAACTACTTAAACTAAACCCATTTCAAAAATCAACACGAAATTAGACTTGGTAAATCTCTTAAAACCCTATAGGAAGAGTGAGAAATGGGAAAATAGAGGAAGGGAGAGATAGAGACAAAGAGCAAGCGAGACAGAGAGAGAGAGAGAGGAAGCAAGAGAGAATGGAGAAAGATAAAGAACCTGTTCGTATTGCGGTGGTGGCAATGGTGATTTTCGGCGGTGGAAATGTGCGACGGATGTCAGCAACGGTGGTGAGGGACTTCGGTAAAGTGAGAAGAGGTGAGGTTCTCTATGCGCGCACGCAAGAGAGAGAGAGAGAAAGAGAGAGAGAGGAAAGGGATGTAAATATATGGACACCTAAATCTAGGCGCTTATTTGTTCAAAAAAAAAAAAAAAAACTAGTCTTATAAAATATTTTCCCACATTTTAGTGACTAAAACGTTTTTTAGTCACCATAAGTTCACTATTTGGCGACTAATTATTCTTTTGTCCGAAAAAATTGAGTATACTGCGACTAAATATTTTTTAGTCGCCAAAACTGCATATTTGCCGACCATAGTGCAAATGTGGCTATTATTTGACAACTAAATTTATTTTAGTCGGCAAAAATTAGTATACTACGACTAAAATAAAATTTAGTAGCAGAAAAACTAGAATAACGACAGCTAATAATTTTTTTAGTCGCCTATTGTAGAAAATTTACAGACTAATGTTTTTTTTAGTCGCCAATAAATAATATACGTCGACTAAATATTTTAGTAGCAAAAACTTGAACCAACGGTGACCAAAATAATTTTTAGTAGGCAAAAATTGAACTTTTGGCAACTAAATCCCTTTTAGTCACCAAATTTGGTCGCCAAAAGTGTAAATTGTTGTAGTGTTTAAAGACAGAATAAGAATGAATAAAACATTTTTGTGCATAAATTTGCTTTTATTATTTCAAATTTATCAACATCTAGAGATTCTAAAAAAATTTAGACTGAGCTCAATTATTTGAGTTGAGCCTGCCAAATTGCAGTCCTAGTTGGGAATTGGGAAGTGGTGGTGGGTTGAAAAAAATGCAACTAATGTCACGCACTTACTTTTACTCACTCGTGGAGACAACCCATCGTGTCCACACCACTATTACTTTTCTTCTTGGACAAGAATTTACAATCGGGACAATGTTTGTTTGAGTGGATATAATTTCAAAATTAGATTAATTATTTAATAAAATATATAATTTTATGTTTGATTTAAAAAATGAGTTTTAGATTAGTAATTTTTGGACGTGGTATTTTTTATATGAAAAAATTATTGAATTTCAAGAGAGTAATAAAATATAAAATGAAGGACTAATGAAATATTCGAATTAATTAGTTAAATTATAAAATTGATAAAATCTTATTAATCTCTCCTCATAATCTCAAGTTAATCTATATATAAGATAGGATATATAATTTAAAGGAATTAATAATCTCAAGATTAATAGTAATATGAATATTATCCGTCCAAACATGGCCTCAAGGGATAGCCTTAGAATTGTCAATACGAAATACGTAATTAACAAAATATTTATACTCTTAATACATATTTTTAATATTTTAATACACTTTTATTTTTACACATTTCAATATGTTTTTTTACACATTTTTTTTAATATTAACAATAACCTTTAAGATTGTTTTTAACATTTTCCTACGTTCAATAATGCTTCGCTAATTACCATCTATATTTATCACATTTAATATATAATTTTATGTCGTAAATGTTCAATCATATTAATATAATGAGTCTTACATAAATTTCACTAATATGTGTCACATAAAATGATATATATATATATATATATAAATAATTAAATGTAACATTATTGGTATTACATTACTCCATGCATCTTCCCACACAACTGCAGCTTTTTATCTTTCGTTTTTGTTTTCCAATCAAGAAACTTGTGTCCTTAAAGGGAAGCAAAGTTGTTGCATGTCATGGCCGAAAAAGATGTGCACCGTACAGACCGGGGGAAAAAAAGAAAAAGAAAAAATCAAAATCAAAATTTGGTTAAGAGCTCCTCGAATTTAAGTGTGTGATTGATTTTGAAAGTTGAAATTTCTCCCTTTTATTTCTTTTTTAATTGAGGTTTATTGATTTGTTCAACTAAAAGTTGTCCATCAATTATAGGAAGTTCGAATAGGAATGGGTCTCAATTAAATTCAAGGCAAAATTCTTTATGAATTGCTCTCAAATAATTTAAGTTGTTGGCTACACATTTTGTACTAAGCCAGTGACAATCCGACGCGTGGCGAAGTGAGGGTAATATGGGGAGACCAGGTAGGTCTCCGATCCTGATCATACACGTGGCAATTAATATTGGTTGTTATAAGATCTGAGTAGTAGCAGATCAACAAAGAGACGTACAGTGACGTGGCTTCAACGGTTGCTCACATTTCAAATTCAAATATAAGGGGGAAGCCTAACTGCAAGTGAAGGCGTAGTGGAACTACTTATAAGGTAGCATGATCAGCGACTATGGAGGAGCAGTTCGACGGTTTGAAGTACAATTCGATGGTTATCTTCGGAGAGTATAAATAGCAGGAAGGACTTCAGAGAAAGGACGGCAAAAAAGATCTAAAGAATTACTTTTCATAGTCCAGTGTTATTTCCTGTCCTTTATATTTCTATACTTTAAGTTTCTGCGCCGCACTTCATTTATAGGAGTAGTTTTCGAGTATATTGCCGCTGTAATTCTCTACGGAACTAGGATCATTGTCAGTTTTTCATACTAATGAAATATTTCAGTTTATTTAATTGTTCTTATGTTCAAGTTTTCTGAAGTCAAATTACCAGTAAGCCACCAGTAAAAGTCCTCTTTATTGAGGCCGAAAGAACCATAACACAATCGTCTGAATAATTGTTTGGCAATTACAATTCTGTAAGGATTGATTGATCCTTTTTGGCATGCTCATAATTACGAAAGTAACCCTCGAAAGCCAAAAAAGCCAACATATATTTTTGGCACGCCAAGTGGGACCTTTTAAAAAAATGGCTAGACGTAGGAGACAAGGAGAAAATGAACGTTTGGAAGAAGGCGTGGAAGGAGAAGTGGAGATATCCAATCCAGAGGATAATGTGATAACACATCCTGTGGAGACTCCTATCCTATCGGAACCCATGGTCGAACAGACCAATACCTCAGAGCAAATACCATTTGTTCGTAATAGTGGACGAGACCTAGGAATTGGACCATCCAGTGTCCCATCTACTCAGCCAGTCAATCCGTGGGGCGGCTTGGTAGACACCATGGGACAACAATTAATAAACACAATGGAAAGGTGGGCAGTATCCTTTTTGGATCGAATGAATAACCACCAACCAACGAATGTAAGACACATAGAGGAGGTGAATGTCCCACAGCAAAGATTGGCTAGAGACAAACAGCCTATGCAAGCTAATGGACATTCTAATGGTCAAACTAGTAACCAGATTCAGGAAAGATTACCACCTCAGTCTTGGTACGAACCCATTTCGAGGCCTGTAGCAGGCCAGAATGCCTCAATGTTCAACAGTGATGCCATGCAGATTGGTGGATCTGGCCCGGTACAAGAAAATGGCATAAGAATGATTCCAAATCCCACATTCGAAGCCATACCTGGTACCAGGGGGTACAATAATCCTGTATTCGAATTTATACCCGGGGGGTTGGAAGGTTTTCCTACAAGTGGAAGGGATACAATACCTATTCCAGCACCTTTCGTGGGTCCTTTTGCAGGACAGGCTTAAAGAGGTTACCTACACCCCCAACAGCACCCTCTACCACAGGGACAGCCAGTCCCAAATGTACCACCTTATGGACCAAGAGGACCACAAGCACAAGTTTGTCCACCAAATCCTGTGTTTGTCCCCCCAGTGGTGGTTCAGTAGGCACAAAATATGGTCCCTAGGGACCAGATCACTGAGATAGTTAGGGAGTTGTGTGGACCAATGGCTCGGGGGGGCCAGACCCCTGTGTATAGAAAACCATACCCAGAATGGGTCGATAGGGTACATGAATATCCAAGAGGTTTCAGGATACCAGATTTTGTCCTCTTTCATGGGAACGGAAACCAATCCACAGTAGAACATATTGCTAGGTTTGCCGCTCAATGTGGTGAATTTACCAATCATGACTATATAAAGTTGAGACTATTCCCAAATTCTCTAACCGGATGAGCATTTGTATGGTATATTAACCTTCCACCTAGATCCATCCAGACTTGGCAGCAAATGGAAGAGGCATTTCATGCCCAGTTCTTCCAATCAGAGCCAGAAGTTTCCATGGCAGACTTGGCCAGATTGAGTCAAAGGCCTGAAGAGAAGGCTACTCAGTTTATTTCTAGATTTAAGAGGGCTCGAAATAAATGTAGAGTAATCTTGCCAGAAACGGAATTCGTAAGATTGGCTCAAAATGGCCTAGAGTTCAGGCTTCGAAAGAAGTTTGATTCAACAGAGTTTAGAGATTTAGTGGAACTGACTTATAAAGTATCTAGATATGAAGCATTACTAGAAGAGGAACAGGATCGAAATAATGCATCATATAGGACATACTACAAAGATCCTAATTATGAGATTGATGCGGCAGAGATTGTGGGAAAAGAGCCTATGATCAGTGAAGCATTAGTTCATAAAGATACAACAATTGACCAGCAGTTTAAAAAGAAAGATCTCCACAGGAAATATTCTTTCGACTTAACTAAGGCAGATGACATTTTTGATCATTTGCTTGCGGCCAATTTCCTTAAGTTACCAAAGGGTGTTAAAATTCCATCTCTTGATGAACTTAAAGGAAAAATATATTGTAAATGGCATAATTCTTGGTCTCACTCGACTAAAAACTGTGTTGTTTTTCGAGACAGGATCCAAGAACAAATTCGGAAGGGGAGTTTGAAGTTCCCAGCCAAAGCTGAAAAAGCCATGGGGATCGATAGCAATCCATTTCCAGAAATTGGAGAGGTGGCAGCCAATGTCATTATGTCAGACTTTCAGAACTTGTCTCTGAAAGAATTGGAGGAAGTCAATGTACAGATGCATGTGGCCAACCAGACAGCAACTAAAAAAGACCTTAGAAGTCCACCAGCCATGGGACGAGATTTCCCACATCAGAGGGAAGACTCTGATGAAGAAGCACTGGATGATGACTCCCTAGAGGCAGCCGTAATGCAACGAATGTGTCCCAGGTGCAGACTGAGTTATAAGTGGTTGAAGGGCCTTCCAGTCGATGGGAAGCAGTATTACAGGGATGTGCAGAGGCGTCCCAAACCAACCAATGCTTATAACAAAAGGCC